TTAGTATTACTATATTGGTTATAAATACTATATATTTATATAATATAAGTTATATAATTAATATAATATATTATATATTATGAAAAAATTCCTAACCCACCCTCCCTCCCCTTCCCATCCTCTCAAAATCACGAAAACTTTCGGCCGCTTACGCCTCTACTTCTTCTGAGTCTTCTCCTTCTCCGATCAAAACCACGAAATGCTTTCGATCGCGAGAGCTTAGGGTTTGCATTTTGTGTTTGTTCTCTAATCTATACTTCTATTTGACTTTGATAAAGTATCTTTGTCCTCGGCGAGTCGTTGTTGGCTCGACTGCTCGGTATTCTTGTTTGGTTGTTCGACCTTCTAGCTTGGTTTCTTGTAAGGCTATCGAGGTGTTATCTCTGAGTATCATTTCCTTAATATTTCATATTTGTCTTCAGGTTCGTCTCATAGGTTAAATTTTCTTATTTTTTTTAGATTTATTTAGTTTTTTTAGGGAAACTTAGTTTTTGAAGTTTTTAGGAGTGAAATCTCGCGTATTGCCTTTAGATCTGAATGTTTTATCGATGAGATCTGATATAAGGGTTCATACAGGTTTAAGCATTTGTGCATTGATTTGAATATTGCCTCCAGATCTGATTCTTTTATGGATTAGATCTGATATAAGGGTTTTGTTGTGAGTTGTGATTCGGCTATTGCATTCTTAAATTTCATATAGATTGCGTGAATGGTTGTCACTTTATTTTGGTAAATTTGGTAAAGCATAGTGTGAATTGCGTGAATGGCTGTCCATTTATAAATTTCTCTTCTTGATTGTGTGCTATATTCGTAAATGTCCCTAAATATAAAGGTCATGCATACTTACACCAGATATACACTTCCCTAGAAGCAATTGTTCTAGCGGCATTTGAAAAGTTCTCCATCAATTAGAAAATGAAAAGTTGTAGTTTGGAAGTCTGCATTGCATGATTATAACAATTACAACATTATAAAACTTTGACCTCATGCATTAAATACTAGGAAGATTTGCATACATACTACTCAGTTCTTATATACATAAACTTTAATTTCTACATATATGCCACCTTACTTATGAACTCAAAGATGTATTTCACCTTTTAAAAGTTAAAATAGTCTTATGGTTTATGTGATATAAGAGATTTGGGTGGCTAAATGTAAGAAAAACAAAGTTAGTTGTTAGATGTGTAAACATATAGGAATTGGGTGGTATGTACCCCGAAGTACCATATGAATCATCCTAGACAAGCTGATGCTAGTTGTTCAACAAGTAGAACAATGTGTTGCAAATCTTGAAATCGACCATCTAATTTACATAAAATTGTATTGTGGGAATTTTATAAATGTTGGCAACTCAAAGCTAGCCAGGATTTGCTCTAAATCATATAAAACAATTTTTTTAGCAATATAAATGATGTTATCTTCTTAAATTTCACAGTCTCTCTTTATATTCTAGCTTTTTTGAATGCAAAATTTAGGCAGACATTGACAACAGTAGTACAATTTGGGGACTTGCTAAAAGAGTGTTTATTCTTAGCTTGATTACAGATTTCATGCTGTCATCTTAAGGCTTGGTTATTCATGATGCCTAGCTTGGTTATTCATGTTGTTGGGCAATTCTTAGCTTGCTTGCAGATTTCCTTACTGCATGATTTTCTTTGGTGCTTGTGCAATGGTTTAGTTTGCTTTGAGAATCTCATTATTTGGTTAAGATGTTATTAGAGGCTATAATGATTACAAATGATAAAATCTCATTGGTATGATATAAGTATTTGTTATTATTTTAAAGAAGAATAAATAAAGTTGTCTAAGATTATTAAACTTACTCTTTTTACATTTTGGAAGGCAAAACTTATGCAAACCATAATGGAGGATTACAATAGTTTGACAGGAATTTAAATCGATGTCTTAGATATTAACTCTGATTTTAGTATGCTTGGAAGGCCCGTAAATTGTGTAAATGCATAGTTGATTTACTTCAAAGTGGTGAAAGAATTTCATAAATTTGAGCCTCAATTAATAATTAAATCTTAACTTTTATTTTCGTTTCTAAGTTTTTTTTTTTTCTAATATATAACTAAGAATTGCAGGTACAAGATCATCATTCGCCAGTCACTACTTATTGGATCATCAGATATAAAGATCGAGGAATTGTAGAAAGTCATAGCGTTTAAATTTGATGTACTTTTTTGAATCTTTTAGGTTTATGTAAGTCATAAGTGTATGTGTAATAAATGTAAATTTAATTTTCTAAATATAAATGTCCAACGTAATTATTTTTTATGTTTTGATTTTTATTAAAGATTTTATTTGTACTTTTGACTCTTGTTTAGTTTGTAAATTGTAAAATTTGTAATATTTTTTTTTTTGTTGTGTAAAGTTTTGTAAAATAATATTAATATTCTTATTGTGTAAATTTTTTTTTTGAAATTTATTCTTGAAAATTTTTTTAGTTAATCAATTTTTTATGATTTGAAATTAATTATTAATGCAAATAGATTTTATAGATAAAATTTACTATTTTTATTTTATTTAAAAATTTAGTTATTATAATAATTTTATATTCTAAAAAGTCAATTTTGAGCTGAATATGAGTTGAACATGAATTCGAATATGTTATTCAAGTTGAATATGAACATTTTTTACGAGTCAATTTCAAACATGAGCCAATTTCGAATGAGCCAAACATGAGCCTAGCTTGAGTGAACATGAGCCAATTTTGAACGAGTCGAACATGAGCCTAGCCTCAGCTTGCTCAGGCTCGGCTCATTTACAACCCTAAGTACCGCCTAAAAGGAGAAAAAAAAGAAAAAAAAATCTATTATATTGTCGGATAAAGTGGGGTTGTTTTGTTTGTTGATCGGTTATCAATGACGGAACGTTCAGGCAGATGACGAAGGTAGATTAGGCGGCCCGACTATCGATCTATGGTTTCAATCTTCTGTTGCGGCATAAGACCTGTATACTGAGCAAGCAATGCAACAAGGTGTTGGTGCTCTGTCTCCATCAAGGACTTAAGAGGTTTTTGGTGTTTCGTTGCCACCCGGTGAGGGTGCCATGTTGGTTATATCGTTAAGTGGGATTGACTCCTTGGCATGAGGTGTTTTGATCTTGTTTGTTAGATTTTGAATTTTTTTTAGGTCATCTTATCTTTAAGTTATTTTTTGATGCAATTGGCATGCTAGACTTGGGTCATGACTCCTCTTCGACAAATATTGGTGAGAATCTGACCGTAGTGTTGGCGATGGTAGTCAAGGCACCGACCGGGAAAAAGGATGGTGGGATTGACCGCCCGAGCAATTCTCATGTGACCCCCAAGGAAATAATTAATGGATGTCGGATATCTCTTGGTCACTGGCACTCCCCTCTATGCAGTCGAAATTTGAAATCTTCTTGGCTAATGAGAAGATTACACGGGGGAGACAAAGAGGGGGCTCATGATGACTCTTTTGGCTCTCTTTTAGGAAGCTTTCAAAAGTCATAAAATATATGAAATAAAATGTGTTTGATTCAGAAAAACTAAGACAACTTGATAAAAATAAAATCCGAATATAGTAACATCGAATAAATTTTAAATGATTTTTAAACCATTAAAGCAACAATAAATCATAAAATTCAAAATATATTTTGAAAATTTATGAAATAACTTCTGTAATTTTAATTGGCCTATGGGTGATCATTTTATTCAATTAGACAGAACATTTGAGTATTGTATGATAGTTTATTAAATTTTCTTAAGAAAGATATAATTGTAAATATTATATTTATTATTTAAAACTTTTTTTAATTAAAAGTGAATTATATTAAGGGATAAAAGGCCAAAAGTTATGATGATACATTACTAGGAAGAATGAAACATGATACATTAGTTAGAACTTCAAACAAATCAATAAAACATGCAAAAGGTTATAAGTGTAATTAACAAAATGTTGAGAATTTGAAGCTTTAGTGTGTGGATGACTAAATGGTGGATATTATTATGAATTTGCATAACAATATACATTAAAATTAATCAAATTGGTAAAATTACAAATTTACCCCCTTAGTTAACATTAAAATAAAAGCCAATTACTTAAAATTGTTGAGATTTAAGAATAAACTTGAATCAAACAAGTGAAGAATACATAGATATATAGTGAATTTTGATGGTTTTAAAAGTAATTTAGGATAGCTTTGTTAGTTTCTTCAAAATTGTAAAATTACTTTTATTATTTTAGGAGCTTCAAAATGAACTATATATAATTCAAAATCACTAGGATTTAAAATGAGACTCTTCATTACGATATGAACAACAAAGTGAAGGTCATTTGGAATTTAATTTTGAACCACCCTATGAAAACTCTGAGGGTTTTATAAATAACTTAAACTTAACTAAAATATTTTCTTTTAACAAAATCTTAAGGAAGTTTAAATTTAATTACTATAAAATCAAAAATAAAATCAAATCAAATCAAATGTAAATAAAATCCACTAGGAAATCATAAACAACTAAAACTTTTAACAATTTAAAAGTTAAAAACACTGAAACTTAAAATGAAACCCTAGTGAACCATCATCGACGACGCTACTTTAACTCCTTCACCCAGGTGTACTAAGATTTCTTAGACGATGCAACTCATGGTTGCTGACAAGACTCTTATGGTCGGAGTTGGTTTAGTAGATCAGTGACCATGCTATCTTGGAACGACAGAAAACCATACACATCTTAATTGGGTTGCCATAAATAAAAATCTAACTTCTTTAACACCCACCAACTTTAAAAGTCATAAGACACTCACCTATAAACGTCATAGGTTTGCTTGTTAGAAATGTTTGATTAGGGCGGACTGTTTCGCTAAACTAAATGTTTAAGACAAGTAGATAATATTCTGTGTGGTTTATTTTTTTAAACTAAGTTTTTTATTGTTCACTTTCTTCGGTGAGCATTATCTTAGTCTTAGAATTCTGAGGTTATTCGTCTTATACGAAATAAATTCTCACCTTCCCAAGCTTTCTCGCGATCTTATACCATGGGATATTAGTCTTAAATTTCTAAATAAATTGTTGGATTGAGACAATAAATAACTTCCCTTTAAAAATATAAAGCTAAATCATATGTTAGTTTGAGATGTCACTAATGTTTCTTTAGTTTCTTCGACAGCTGCTAAATTTCATTCTTTTAGATACCAAAAATAAATGTTTCACATTGAGCCTTTCCCATTTGATTTTCCTAAAATCAGTCGTGGAAACTAAACGTTGACTTCTTGAAGACATAACTTCAATATTAATTGAGAGTTTTGTTAAGTGATTTCAGTTGCTTAAAATGTAATTAAATATACAGGCTTGGGCTTATAGAAGATTGGTAACCTAAAAAATTTAAACCATATCTAATCTTAGGATTAGATAGGGGAAATATCTGTTGGTATTTTCACAGACCAAACAAATATCTTAAATTTCTTAGATTGAATAATTGAACCCATTATTAAGTGATTGTATCTTCTTTCCAGATAATATATAATGTCTTGGTCAATTATTTAAACTATTAAATATTTGAGAAACCTTAGATCTTCTTTTTAAAATCAAAAATTTTTTTTCTTCAAATACAAAATAGAAACTAATAGATTTTTCAGACGACAATGCTGAGATCTAATTTTTCTCTCTATTTTTGATTGATTGTTTTGTCTTCATATATCGGTAGTATGCCTATGCCCTGAATAGACCAGACAACCATTCTCCCATTGATATACATTCATTTCTTTCTTAAGCAAGTTAAATCTAGAATTAAAATTGTTCATAAATCCATAAAACTTAGAATTTTTTATGATTGGCTGCATTTAATAGTTCCAACCCATAGATTCTTTTTAATTTTATAGTGAAATCCATTCACCAAAAATCTGTAACATTTTTTATTGAGCAATAAAATTACATATGAGTTTCTCTAATATATATATATACATACATAAAAATTGTCTCTATCTATTTAAATTTCTCATTAAGAGAGCGGTTGGGACTTGAACAACTCCACCTGCCTTTTTTGCGTCACTTTCTTCCGTGTTACAGAAGCCCGCCTGATTCTCGACGGTCCTTTCTGAAAACTCCGTCTCATGCGGTCAGTGCATCTATAGTATAATCATCTCCAAAAAATTAAAGAGAAGCCAAGCTCGTTGCAGCGGAATCGCGCCTAAATCTGCTCCAAGGTGAATATTCTTGCCTTTCTCTTCGCCCAGAATTTATGTTGTTAATTGCTTTTGGGGATTTTGTTTCTTTGAAATCGTAGTTTGGGGGTTGGTTTCATCGATGCAGTGTAGAGGGGAAAGTGATACAGATAAAATCGAACTTTGGTGAAGAAGATGAGGTTTGATTTATTTTCCTTGGATGCAGGTAGTAGTTATTGTTAGTACATCCATAGATGAAAAGGAAGGATGGGCTCTTGGATAAAAAAGAAAAGTTTTTGATGAGTTTTTCTTTAAGGGTTTCAAGTTAACGTAGTATTTACTTTTTAGCCATCATGGTTTTTTGGGGGGACTATTCGGTTTTCTTTTTCACAATATTAGGGCACCTTCACCATTTTAGCTTGCAAAAGGTTGCTTTTTTAGGGGGACTTCAATTTTTTACCCAGGCAAGTTTTATTAGTTACCGCTGTCCGAGATTCTAGTTGTGGTAGTTTGATTGTTTCTGATGAATGCTTTGTATTGTTTCTGGGATTGCTCAAGTTCTGTTTTAATCTAGCGCTTTAATTTATTCCATAATAGAAGCCTTCTACTTAGGTTGGCTAAGTGCTTCTTGTAAGTTATTTGAAGTTGATAAATTTATTGGAGTGGTGCCAAAGCGTTGAAAGGTAAGGGACAATTGTTCATATGATACACAGTTATAGATGCGATGCAAAACATGAGATCTTACACCTGTTTCTAACAGTAATAGATCGAGGTTCATTAGGAGATGGAATCATATGTGTTGTACCTTAGCTTGGTTTAGGAGTCTCTCTGGAGTTGGTTAGATTCCTGGTTATGGTGAAGAGCTTTGGAGTAATCTATATTCTCTTGAGTTAGTCATTTTCTTGAATACAGAATCACTTCTTGGTCCTGTTTTTCTTGGGTGATTCTCAATTTTGGAGAGTTTGATTGGGTATGCTATGCTCCTAATTGAATTGGTTCAATTTTGGAGTGTGTCTGAATGGTGATTATTTAAGTTTGTTTTACAATTTTATTTTCTGAACATTGATTTTCTCGTGTGATTGGATTCTCCTTCTGAATTGTATATTTGGGGTAACTGTTTCATTCTCATATAACATCACATCAATTGAGTTATAGAAATTTCTTGTTATTGTTGAATATCACTTGCAACCTAAGGAATATACATTTGAGGTATTTTGGGTCTAGTTTTCTTGGATGTTATTGATGTATGTGGATGAAGGCAGCTCACGCAAATATTTTGGTGGGAATGGTGGATATAGTTCGAATGTTTGGACTCAAAATTGACATTCTTGTGTGATAGGATTCTTGTTCTAAATTGTATGTTTGCGGGGGTTGATTTTTGAAGAATATCAATCAGTGGAGTTGTAGAATTTTCTTATTATTGGTGAATAGCACTTGTAACCTATGGATTATGCATTTGAGTTATTTTGGGGCTAGTTTCTTGTAAATGTTATTGATGTTTGTGAATGTGAATGAATGCAACACACCTAAATATATTGATGAAAATGTTGTAGATAATTTGAATACTTTGAAATATATTAAGGAGTGTTTGACATGGAGTGTTGAAGTTCAAGACTAGAGAGAGTATTCCATTGATGAAATATGTTTTAGTAAAAATATCTTTCCGGGAAAACTTATTGGAATGTAAGAAGATAGCATAAGGGATATGTCAATTTCTAATTATTTTAAATTTTTTCTTTCAACAATTTTGTTTTGTTGAGGAGCATCAGCATATGAACTTTGGTATACTATGCCTTAATTGGAAAGATATGACCTAAGAATTTAGCGTTAGTATAATCTCCCATTGTTTGCTCTGTGGACTTGCACCTTAAGTTGCATTAAGTTTGAACCATGTTCTTGAAATTCTGAAATATTTTACCAACTTTTGCCCTTTTTTTCATTAAAAAAATGCATAGAATCTTGGTGTCATCGTTATTAAAGGCAATAAACGATTTAGAACATGTAATATTATTGATTTTAGAAGGTCCCAAATTGTAACTGTGTATTAGAAAGAGGGTGAGATGGTTTGTAAGGCTGATTTAGATATGTATTGAGAACATGCTTGGATTCTAGATTGTTTTGATATTGGAATGACTTTGACTTGTCATTGAATAACAAGGGAAACATCCTTTTAAGATACAAAAAACTTGCAGCGGCCTAATCAATAACATTGTAACATAATAGATCCATTTTTATAACACTTCTAGAAGAAATAGCTATTCATTTATTCTAATTTGTTTTTATTTATAGATTGCCAACACTCAAAAGATAGAGAACTTCCCACATCCTCCTTGACTTGAGAAAAAATAAGTAACAGAATAAAGATATCTTATAAGATTGGTTATATACATTAAATTATAATTTAAATTTGGAACAAAGACAGAGTTAATGGTTAAATCCTTTGAAATGACAATGCTTGTACCATATACTCTTAAGTTCATAGAGTGAGGTTGCCACGACATGTGGTTGTATTTGTGCAATAAGGAAAGCTCCTTCAATCATGTGATCAGATGCTATTTATTCTACGATATATGAACTTAAATTTTACCACTTTACTTTTAAGCAAAGAGTAAAAAAAAAATGACTAGACTAGCTTGTATGATTGATTTGGTAGTGAATTTGTCTTGTTGCTAGTCATTTCAACATCTACAATTTGCTTTGCATTTAACCTGTTCAAATTGGTGAGAATCAAATATTCAACCGACAAATTGATATTGATTTTATGGGACCACTTGATTTAAAATTGAATAAATTAATTATCATTAATCATTAATTCAGAAGTTAAAAATTTTATAAAATGTATGAACTTAGTAATTCTAATACCAATCCGACAAAACATATCCTTCAAATTCTTGTGTTGTTAACCAGCCTTTTTTATGCGACTTCCAACAGATGAGTCTAGTCACCCCCTTATTCGGTGACTGTTCTTAAGTTCTCTCTTCTATGACAGTGATCTATCGACCATTAGCCTTCCATGAAGGTGATTCATCTATTACTCGTAGTTACAACCTTCTCCTCCATTGCACATACCTTGCTAATATGATGTTAGTTTATCCTTTTACATTCTTTGATTTTGATTGCTTAAACAACAACTTTTGAGGACAATATGGGATTAATTTTGCTTGAACTCGGGTTTTCACAAGATTTAAAAGAAATTCAAATATTTATATACATGAATAACAATCTTTCATAAATATATTGAGAATCACCTTTTACCAACAACTATAATTTTAGTTCAACTTTTATTTTTGAAACCTAATGACCTTCACAAGATGTTCTCGATCTGGATTGATGACGCTGAATCTGACTGCATGGGAGAGTCAATTTTTCAATTCTATGTGTTGTAATGTATTACTAAAATTGTTGATACCGGTGTAAACCAAAGATCCATGGAAAAATAAATATTGTTGTTGAATTCAAATAGGAAAATACAACAAAATAGTGTAGAAGTCTGAAATTGCAACAACAAACAACACAATACTAACCCTAGGGTGAAGCTAGAGTGTAAGTGTTGCCAGCTATGGGTTTGGATCTCCGGAGAGATGGCAAATGGGGCGGTTAGTGGCTGGATGGTGGGGTGGTTGAACGAGAATAATGGAAAAAACAATGAGAGGTGAGAAACTGTAGGGAAGGTAGAAGGGTTGGACGTCCTAGGCGGCGGCAACATTACCTTGGGGTGGGGGCGGCAGGAACAATAGGGGTTGGCTTTCTCGGGGCGCTAGAAGGAGAAATTGTAGGGAAAATAACAACTCCTTGTTGTTCTGGGTGGCGGCAGCAAGGGAGGGCGATGTGGATTGATGTGGGACGGAAGGGGAAGGGCGGAGGAGTTATAACACCACCTCGGGAGCGAGATATAGCTGGAGTACCACTCAGCCTCTTTAATACATGACTAGAAGGGAAGAGGAGATGCCGACAACTATCCCTATCAAATCACACCAAAAACTGAAATCGAGCACGACCAAAGCAAAATACGTGTGTCCTAGATAATTTGGAGTAGCCCCACTCCAATTGGGAGGCAGTCCACTGGCTTGGAGGGCCAACAAGCTCGTCAAATCCTTCTACCGGTTCGGTCCAGATACGCCCAATCGCATTTTGGGCCCTAGCAGACACCAACTTCAATTGTTCATATCAACATCAAAGCTAGTAGCTAAGTAACTGCAACTTATATTTAAATGTCAGCCTTTAATTTGTTTATTTTTGTCTTATATTTGCATGATTGTATCTTTATTATCATTGAGGTCATATTTAAATAATTTTAATATTAATATGTCATCTGATCAACTCTTGTTGTATCTTTGAACTTTGAACATTTGCTTATAATTTTATATCCAGTCAGATTTTTAAGACCTTGCTTTGAAAAAACTTAGAAAATTGCCTTTTTGTTTTAGGGTCCAAATGCTGCTAGGAGATCTACTATTTTCTTATGATTAATAAAATATTTGAAGAACTCCCATTATTCTTTGATGAATGGAATTGCTTCTGTGGAGGTTTGAGTTGTCATTATGGTTTCAATATTTTCACGACTGTCCTTGTCTTGAGAGTGACATGACGACTTCCAATCTATTATTTTTTCATGAAATTACTAATACGATTCTTTTATGTGTCTAGATTTCCTGCCATGCTCACATTATGGCCTGCTATTCTTTGTTGATTCTCACTATTAACCGGATCCCAGGGCAAATAGGATAGAACTTTCAATGAGTGGGGGCGTGACATAAAGATCCCAACATTAGCTTTTTACTATTTTATTATCTTTAGAATTAAAAAAAAAAAGGTTTATATGAGGTTGGGGTGTCAATAAATGACCCTTCTGATAACTCAACTCGGAAAATTTAGGTACGTGTTAATTTGATTACTATTTAGGTCAGGTTCAAATTTAAGTTCTAGACCCAATTATTATTTAATATAGATTTGGGTTGATCCAAATAACCCAAAAATGATCTGATTATTATTTGGGTTCAAGTCTAATTAATTGGATTAAAGGGTCATATTTGAGTTAATTGGTTCGTGTTTATCCAAAAATTACTTGATCTATATTGTAAGCGGTCAACTTCAGGCCAAATCCAAACCCAACCGATAAACTCAGTTTGGCGTCTCTGATATGGGGCTCAACAATCGCTTTGGTGTGAATTCTTCTTTTGATTTCATTAATATCTTAATTGAGGCCGATTTAAAATTTGCAAATCTGGATTTTTTTTAACCATTTTTTTTGTTTTCTAGAATTTCTTCTGGAGTTTTCCACTCCAATTCTTAAAGAATATCTACCTCTTGTTAATTTATGGCTAGAGTATTGAAATATTTGGTTATAGAGGGTTCACATTGTCTTAGATTATAGAGAGTTGTCATGATTTAAAAAATCTCTTAATGCATTGCCTTTCTTGGATTATGCTTCCCTCACCGCACTCCATTTCTCTCTTGCAATCTTGTAGTAATAGAGCTGATCAACCGTGATATTGTTATGTTGTTTCTTAATTTTTTATTCTGAATTTGTATCATCTAAATGTGGAAGAACTGTTTCATTTGCTCTAGTAAGGTAACCTTCTCTCTATTTTCACGAATAAACATTTTAGCGGACTGAGATTGTTGAATTTATTTTTTTTCATTGATTTAATTTTATTCTTACTTTTATACATATAGCGTGAAACTATATTAATAGATAGAGGACTTAGTTCATCTGCTGTCTTAGCACTTTATCTCAATTTAAAGTTACCTAAAATGTATAAGGAAAAAACAAGAAACGATTAAAAGTATTTGAACCACCTGTTTAAAAATTCCTTTTTCAAATTGTAAAACATGTATATATGATTTGGGCAAAATACCATATTGAGTTTTTCTTAATGTTTAAATTAAAGTTGCTTTATAGTTGTTTCCTTTACAAATCTAAACTAAATGGGGGTCAAGCTGGTGACATTTGTTTGCATTCTAAATACAACAAATTACTGGTCATCTCCTATTTAACTTGTCTGGCAATTTGCAATATCAGTTGCTACCATATTTGCTTTTTAGTTATAACCCTCTTTTTTTCTAGAATAGATTTTTTTTTTTTCCGAGCGGCCTTTTCATTATGTCAGTATTTCTTACTTCAAATTTTAGTAAATGTTGGATCAAGTTTGTATACCATTTTTTTAAATGTAAAAAACAAATATTGAAATTTTCTTATCTTCATCTTCTTGAAAGTTTCTGGTTGAATACTTCAAATATGTTTTGATTATAGCTTCTAGGAAAGTAATACTTCGAGGAGCGTCTATTTTGAGTGCTATGTAACCTTTTTTTTTTTAATTCAAATTATGTTTTTTGATGGAGCAGTTCTTTAATATGGTTTCTACATGATTTTTGTTGCATGCAGTATTACTTTGAGAGCTCTTGCTGTCAGCAATATGGAAAAGAAGCAAAAGATTTTGGAATCTCGGAAGAGATTAGACAGTGCACTATCTTTGCCGGATCTTGTAAATAAAGATTCTATTGCATCTCTTGTCAAAGAACAGTTTATTCAGTCCTCTTTAAGGAGCAATAGAGGCAAGGCCTTTTTTATCTTATACTATTGTTTTGTTTTAATTTTGCTGAAATTTTAGGATTGTGACGAGATTGCATTGAATGCTCTTTTTCTTCTTTCACATTTGCTTTGGTATTACAATTTCTGTTTTTATTTGGGTGCAATATTTTTTGTCTTTTATTGCTAGTAATATTGCTTATATAGTTGTGATGTAGTTAATATTGTGTTACTTCTTTTGTTGGTTTATACATATTTCCTTTTTTATTTCAAGGACAGTTAGAAGTTCCGAGTACAAAGCATGACACTACAGATGCAATAAGCACATGCTATTCTAGTGAAGCAAAAGTTATAATAAAATTTAAGCATGAGACTGTTTCACATTTTCCTTGAAATATTATAAAACATAGAATTTAGATATTTAATGTGAAATTATTTTTTGTGTGGTGAAACATAAGCTCAATGCAGTGAAAGATCAATGTTATCTAGGTTCAATGTTTAAAATCAAGTACTTCTCATAAAGCTGCTTTCTCAACATCATTTGACTGCAGTTTAGCTGAACCTATACTATTGATAGATTTCAGGCGCATAAAGATGTTTAAGATTACCCAATCAGTCAAAACTACTATTGATAGATTTCAGGCGCATAAAGATGTGTAAGATTACCTAATCAGTCAAAACTAAATATTGTTTTTAACTTATTGTATAATCATCAACTTCACTTATTCCTACAAATTCAAAGATTTTGTCAAACACTAATACCAACATTTTGGGTTGACTGTAAGTTTGGATGTAGGTTTTAAAACTAGTTGTAAACATAATATTAACATTTATCCTTTGTCATTTGTGATTAGAGTGGCAATGATTGTTTATGATAGAAAAATTTCTGGATAAAATTAATGTGGAATTCTTAAGAAAAAACAAGGGGGTGCCAAAGATATGAGTTGCACACAAAAAAATATTGTGCAAAATGTAGCTAACATCTTATGCAACATGAAATAAAATTTAATGGAGAATGAAGATAGGTAAAACTGATGTCAACTATTGTGGATAATTGAGCTCAACCTTAACTATAGGTTTATATTCCTTTTTTTTTGTAGGATTTGAACCCATTACCTGCCCTTTAGAAGGTAAACACCAATACCCTTTGGACACATCCAATGGTTAGATTTCTATTCTCCAATGTCATCATAATCTTTTAGCTTTATCTTGATACCTTGGGATCAATTTAGTGAATATTTATCCTTTAATTATTATCCACGGTGGTCATTACAAACTTATAATTTAATGACTTATTTTATAATGTCTCAAAAATTTTGAGAATTGATCATTAAAATCAAGAATACCATCATTTAAAATATTGACAGGCTTTCACAATCGTCCTTCTTTCTCCACAGTTAATGAAAATTCTCTTATTAGTATAAAAAACTAGTTCTTTTGCACAATTCTTTTTACGTGACTACTTCCTCTGAAAAACTCAATTGGTTGCAAATTTTAGCATAGGAGATAATATTCCAAGAAACACATTGAATAGTGTATAAAACAATGCCCAAAAATTTCACCAAGTCATGACTTTATATTCATAATTTCAAGTTTTTTTTGGGTGGGGGCTCCTTCATCCATATTATCTATATCAATCATGAGAAAGTACTATCAATTAAGGATAATTGTGAGGCTTTACCATTAGATTTTTAAAATTCTAATGGCTTTACAATTATAAATGATTGCCTCTTATTCTTAGAGGATATGATGGCAGGAGTGATGTTATGGCCATGTCAATATCCTTATATTTCCATTGTTCGTGGTTTATTGGCAATGATTATAGTTCCACTCCTTTTACCTTTTTTTTGGGTTTCATCTTGCTTCTCATTGTGTGTTGCTTTAGAAATCTTTGACCATTAGCCATCCATAAGTGGATTGTAGTTGTTTTAAAAGGGTGTGCTGATTGTCATGAAAAAATATATATATTTCTCAATTGCCTTTCATTTTATTGTATTTTACTCTTTGAACAGAGAACTGATTTTTTTTTTCATTATGGAGGTATTATGTCTTAAGAGACCCTTATATGTAAGTTTTGAATTAAATTTAACTAGTAATCTTACTCCAACTTCTTTTGACTGATTTCTTCATATATAAATATGTATGATTTGTGCAAGTAGGCTTTAGCAATTATAGTACGATACCTCAATTATTTTTTTCTTTATTTTCTATATTTCTCAAATATAACTTTTGGTTGGTTAGAAGATGTGGGTAAGATTGTCGAAAACCGCACACTGGAAGTTGAAAATTTTCTTGAGATGCTGAGGAGTGCTTCAGGATCCAGTAGCTCTCATTCTAATTTGCAGAAGGATTGGAAGGTAGTCCTCTTCTTATAAACATAATTCCTTTCCACCAAATTTATTTAAAGAGAAAAATATCAAATTAGTACCCTAATTTTTTGTTTAGGGTCATTTTATCCCAGTGTATAAAATTGTGAATTTAGTCTCCAAATTCTCTTAAAATTGGCTGATATAGTCTACACGGAGGACTATTTCAGCCTCAATTTAAAGAATTTGGGGACTGATTTGGCAGTTTCATACTCTGGATTAAAATTGTCCCATATAAATAGTCAGGGGACTATTTTGCCACTTTACCCTTTGCTTAAACATTCTTTACTCATTATCACTCAACAAATTTGAACTCATAATAGTAATTTATGCTGTCCTGGAGAAATCAATGTGATCCTTTATGAATTTCTAATCAGGACGTGCTTTCATTTGGATCTTCTTTAGTATCAATTTTACTTTTTATTGGAACTTCAATGCTTGCTTGCTTTTCCCCAGATAAAACAAGACACCGATCAACTTCGTGTTATGTACTGTGAAGGACCTGATGGCTCCCCTTTTCATACTCTACTTGCCGAAGGTTTTGCCGACGGTCCCATGGATGTTTGTGAGTGAAATTTTTTTTATTGGGAAATTTACATACATACTACACAATTTTATGTATGTACATATCTAGCACCTAAAAAGTTTGATATTTACACTTATAACACTGGTGTCATAAAACTATGCATGAAAAGGAGTATTCACTTTTAAAAAGTTAATAATGAGGGTATTTTTTTATGCAATGTTCAAGTTTTGAGTGTTATCCATGCAAAGATGACAGTTTGGGTGTTACGTATGTAAATGCCCCTTTTTTATTTGTTAATCTTGTGCTTGGAGATTAGGGTCTGACATTTCCACATCTGAAAATGACACTCTGTGATCGCAGGTTTATGCGTCTCCTGGGAATCAACTTTATACAAGAAATGGTGAGAGTCATGAATTACATAACAGGTTCTGTACTTCATATGTATAAGTAAGCGGTACACATCACTTATTTTCTGTAGATAAGGTTTACGTGAGGTAATTGTTGGTCCGTTCATAATAGTTGTTGGTATGCATAGCAACATCAGTAATAACAGTTTATAATAACAGTATAGATAAGCTCAAACTTAAAGATAATTCCTATAGTATTCTTGATCTTGCTGTAATATAAAATTGATCCAGTAATCTTCCTTTTGGATACTTGATCTCCTTTGTATGATATTTGATTGATGATCTGTTGGAGCCATGGACTCTTGCTGGCATTCTCTTTAATCTCGGTAGTGTGATTTAAAAATTACTATTTTTGATAGTTTTCATGGAAAAATTGGACGATTAAAACTTCCATGAACTGGATTGCTTTGATTTTTCCATGATCTGATCACTAGTTTATGTGAAAAACTTGGGACCATTAAGACTTAAATGGACACAAAGACTCGATTTTTTTCCGATTAGGTGCCTAGATCATGAGGAAAGCTTCTACTTATAGATTTCCCTGCAGTGGGGAGTTAATTGACCATCCCTTTATTGATCTGATCCGCATATGTTTTAGAAGGCTATGCATTCTAGAAGGGGTATGAAGTTCATTTTAGCATTTTAAAAGCTTTTAAGTAAATGAAAATGAAGGGTGATGCTAACTAGATCTCCCAACTTCTTCTCCCCACTGTTAAAATGCGCTTCATTGTTATTATTTTATATTTCATAGATTATTCTTACTTTATCTTGTGAAAAACAGGCATATTGGATTGGTGTCAATAAATCATCCTAAGCAAAATAGAATATTGGGAATTTTTTCATGTAGGATTTTTAATCTTTGGTTGCTTACAAGAGGCCATTAGGTTATATGCGCACAATTTTGGTTTGGTGATGATGTGTGAATAAATCTTTTTCCAGCATATATACAGAATAACTTGCCAATTTTGATTTTATGTTGTGTGAATAATTTCATTTCAATCTGTACTGAGCGAAACCTTCATTTTTAGGTGGCCACAATATAATGTTCCAGCATTCAAAATTATTATATCTCAATGTTTGCAGAAAGTTCGCATTGGTGAAGAAATTTCATTAATAAGGTTTCTTAATGATTTATAGAATCTTTGCATCCATATTCTTGCCCTCATGTATTCTTGATCCTAACTTTCTCCTGTATCCATTTCCAAGAAAGGGTCAAGGTTCCATGGCCAGTCTCGGATCGAGAGGCTGTTGTGCATTACTTTGAAATCGAGTACTTTGATGAAGATCTTGTTCTCGTTCTTGTCAAGACGGTAAAGTTCATGCTTTCTAGGTTTATGATTCGTTGATTTGTCGTTTCTCATTGGTGAACTCCTTGTCACTTAACTTTTCATCTGAAATGCTAACATGGTCTTGAAATTTGCTAGATTTCAGACACAGAACATATCGATCCAGATACATATGGTTTCAGTGGGGATGTAATCCCTCAAGCTAAAGATACAATACGGATAGATTTGTTGGGCGGCTTTGTTTTGCAGAAGGTTGAAAGTAATAGATGCTATTTTCGGTAGGTGATGGAAAAGCTTTTGTTGGTTTAAGTTGCTCCATAGAATTTTTTTATATTGGTTTTTTTTTTTAATAATTAAACAAAATTTAAAAAAAGTTTTCAAGTTGATATATAGTCCAACAAACTTGAGCAATGACCATCTAGTTCATTTTTGTTTGTGGCATTTACATACATACCACACATAATTCTTATGTATTTACATATCTAACACCCAAACTTTCATGCTTTCATGCTTTCATGCATAGCAATCAAATCTTTAATATCACGTTAAAAATATGCTTATCACCTACTTTTTAAAAGTGGAATACACCTTTCATGCATAGGTTTATCACACCAAAGTGTTATGCATGTAAATATGAAAGTTTAGGTGCTAGATATGTAAATGACTTTGAGAATTTTGTGGTATGTATGTAAATTCTCCTATTCTTTAACACATAGCTTGTTAAGTGCTCGATAAAATGCTCATTTAATTGATGATATAATTGTTTGTTTGATGACTTTTATATTGACTCAAGAGCGGCCCTTCCCATGTCCCTGCTCTATGTTCCCTCCACGAGAGTGACGTGAACGAAGCAACGGCTCAGATGTTGTACTTGAACCGAACCCATCCAAAACTTGTCCCTGTTGAGGAGTCAATCATTCCTTATAGACCACTCCTAATTATCCTATTATTATATATTTATTTTCATAGGAGTTTAGGGATTGTTTTTGGCGTGAGTTTGTTTAGGACGGCCGCCGACATTTGTTTTTTCTCTTCGAGGGTTATATTCGAGATTCAAGAGTTTGGGTATTGCTCCGGCTGTATCTCTCTTATGAGGTGATGATTATCTTCCCTATGCCCTTCCACATCCTCCCCATGTATTTCCTAGTGTTACATCTCGCTGCAACCACCCTCAACTGCATTCTGATTGTTGTTTTCTGCAGTTCCAGCCACCGCCATTGCCTTTGCCTACCCCTCTTTGCTGTCATCGCAGTTTTAGTCCTCCACCTTCACTGCTACCACTATTTGCTCCTCGCTGCTTTGATTGTTGTTCAACCATCTGAACACTGTTATCTAGAAAACAACGCACATGCTTTTTTTTGTTGTCCCGCAGCCCCCTGCTCGCTGCAACTCCCCGAAACACGCTCTAGCTGCTGCTATACTTCTTCGCAACCCCTTGGGACAGCCTGCCATTGTTGTTCCTGCCTTCCCAACTTCTCCTCCCTTTTCTCTCACCGACCACCACTACCTTCGGATACGATCCTAGTTTTGTTTGTGTCGTGTATGTTATTATTTCTATTTTCTTTTATGTGATTGTATTTCTCTAATTCTGAATTCAACAATAATATTTGGTTTTCCTATTACTGTTTGGGTTAACTCTAGTATCATTTGATATCAGAACTAGCCTAACCCTAGTCCGATCATAGGGTTTCTAGTATTCACCACTTCCCAACCCGACTTCCACCAAAAAAATTTCTTTCACCCATACACACATTTCACCTACACACTCCTAAACTCTAATCACACCACCAAAGAGATAATTATTGAAGACCTGAATAGAAGGAAGTACCACGATGTCGTTTTTTAAGAAATACACAAAGGGATATTCATAAACCTTCTATGGAGAATGTGGGGCGGGAAATCCTCTAACTGTAACAGAGATTTGTCTCCTTTGAGAGGAGAAAATCTGGATGGGATTTGTGGCCACAACACCGACTCGTTAGATCGAAAGAATTAAATGAATCTCTTCGATCATGTGTATTCTAGGGATGAAAAACCTCTAACCCAAAAGATTTGACCTGAAATATTTGAGAAGGCGGGATGTTGAAGTAATTGTGTATTTACCACATTTTAAGTTCACTTGGATCCAGACAACTTCGTCAAGTTGCTTCAGACTGTGAAATTTTTTTTTTTTTTATTACTAGGAAGTCTCACCAAACAAAATGATGAAATTAGTTGTTAAGAAGCCAAGAAAGGGTGCATTATTTTGGTAGGAAAATTTGAAGCAATTACGCCAATATGAGGGAAAAGACTAGATCATTATTTTGTTCAAAGCTGAAATGGGGGATGCAACATCAGTACCAACCAATTAATTACAGATTGGATGTTTAGACTCATTTTTTAGAAGTGGAGAGACTGCTTCATCGGGCAATCACATCTTAGAGGCAAGGTTAAGCCCTAGGATCTTACAGTCAGAGTACACCTAAGGGAACAGCCAAGCTGACCCTGCCTTAGGAGATTCTAATTCAGAGTAGAAAACAAGTTGAGTGAATTAGTATTCCTAAATCTATCCCAACCAAAAGTTGTTTCAAGTGCCACGAATTTAATCATATGGAATCATATTGTAAATCAGGAGAATGATCCGTTTCATTGATCAGGGAGCTGTTGAAGAAATAAATAATGATCTGACAGGAGATGAAGATTTTAGAATTGATTTTCAACTTCCAACTGACGAGGGAGAGACATTAGAGATTCTAGCTAACCCATGAGAACGACTCCAGTTGAATTAGCAGTAGATGTTCTGAAAGGGATTGATTTTGAGATAATGGACGTTCATGTTGAGTATGAGATCGTGGCATCTCGAATAACCTTTTTGCAGGCATTGAGAGGAGCATAAGAAAAACTGGTATTGAATGTCTAAAATGAGATTGATTCGATACTAGATACAGGACAACCTCATATAAGAGGATCTTAGAATTTTCAAGTACATAACTTACCTCTTGAGTTGTCCCTACAGAGGGAGGTCAAACATGTCAGAAATGATGAGCTTTTGAGCTACTTTTGGAAGATTATATGGAGTTATTCAAATATTAGATACTGTTCAACAATATACCCACCAATGGATGAGATGAACCACAACTTTGTCTTAGGGAGGTCAACAAACGTTCATGCTAAGTATGAGATCATGGTATCTCGAACAACCTTTTTGCAAGCATTGAGAGGAGCATAAGTAGAACTGGTATTGAATTTCTAAAAGGGTCATGAGATTGATTCAATACTAGATACAAGGCAACCTCATATAAGAGGATCTCAAAATTCCCAATTACATAGCTTACCTCTTGAGTTGCCTCTACTGAAGTAGGTCAAACATATCAGAAATGATGAGCTTTTGAGCTACTTTTGGAAGATTATATGGAGTTATTCAGATATTAGATATTGTTCAACAGTGTACCCATCAACAGATGACCAGACAGGAGAGATGAACCACGAATTTGTCTAAGGAGTCTGGTGGGGAAGAAAATTCTACAATGGGATCCATGTCCTACCAAAGAAAAAGAAGAGGTGAATCCTGAGTGGTTGCTATTGAGAGTTGCCCAACCTGCAATAGATTTCATCTCATATTCGATTCCTCCTTACATACTTATTTACCATATACACTCAAACGAGTGAGAAATGGAAGAAGCCAATTACTTATTTGATGACTCAAGGTTTGGTTCGTGAGGATTACCCATTCACATGTAGCTCCAGTTCAAGTTGTGTCAAAAGATGATAGATAATTATTCTATTAAGATGTGTTTTGGAATGACAACGCCTGCATGATTGACTTACAGGGAAAGTACAACACTCCGCCACCTTCAACGTGATAAGGAGTCAGAAGCTTCGATCAAGCAGGCCGAAGCTCCCCCAACCTTGGAAGACTAATGAGGGAGCAACCTCTGCTCCCGACGCGAGAATCATGTGAACAAGCAATCGCTTGGTTGTTGTACTTGGACCGAAGCAGTCCAAGTTTTGTCGTTGTTGAGTAATCAATCGGTTATCTTGTGCCCCTTCTAGTTATCCAATTATTATATATTTATCTTTATAAGAGTTTAGGGTTTGTTTTTGGTGTGACTTTGTTTAGAATAGTTGTCGGCGTCCTTTTTCTTCATTCAAGTGTTGTATTCGAGGGTTAAGGTGGTGCTTCAGTTGTATCTCTCTCCCGATGTGGTAATTATCTTCCCTCACATCCTCCCAACGTCACTCATGATCCTCGCCTGCAACATAATTTTGATTGTTGTTTTCTGAAGTTCCAACCACTGTCATTGCCTTCCCCTTCCTCTTCCTTGCTGCCATCGTAGTTCCAACCTTCCACCTTCACTACCGCCACTGTTCACTTATGTTGTTGTCATACAAAAAACAACAAATCTGTTTTCTTGCTGCCTTGCCGCCTCCTACTCGCTAACATTCCCCTAAAGTCGCTCCAGCTGTTGTTATACTTCATCTCAATACCCGAGACAACTGCCCGTTGTTGTTTTTGCCTTCCCAGCAGCTCCTCCCTTTCCCCCTTGCTATCTAATAACTAGTTTCCATCACCTGCCCCCAACCCTTGGGATACATTTCTAGTTGCATTTGTATTGTGTCTGTTGTTATTTCTATTTTTTGTGGTGGCTTGTATTTCTCTAATTCTGAATTCATCAATAATATTTGGTCTTTGTTTGAAGTTATATTAGGAAATAATATTTTCCTATTAAAAGTTATGAGTATTAGATTTATCTCCTTTCTTGTTTCAGATTTATTTTCATGGATTGAGTTTATTTTCTTTTCTATTTTAGGCTTTACTATTTTATGTTATTTTTTTTTATCTCCAAATAATTAATATGAATTGATTAATTGAAGATATTGTGGGCAGGTGACTAATTAAAATGAATATTGAATGCTTGATGGATGAGAAAGATTTTAGGGGTTTTATTAAGATAGACGAGTTCATCTTTGTTTTGCTTGTAGAACGACTTGAAAAAGGCTATTGCGAAGGCGAGACTGGTTGAATCATTAATTGAATTCTTAGCAGCAAACCTACAGGCCCTTATTGTTGCAGACCCTTTTTCTACAGTAGACCCTCATTTGGAGCTCTTTCCTGTATCAGGCTCTCCTTCAGTGTTTTTCCTACCACAGGTCTTTCACCGGAATTCTTGCTGCCGCAAGCCAACCTCATGAGTTTTTCCCTCCCTACAACAAGCCCTCATATGAAACATTTTCCTACTGCAGGCCCTCCTCCGAGGTCTTTTTTTACCACAGGCCCTCCAAAATCTTTTCAACAGCAGACATTCCTCCAAAGCCTTTTTCCTGCATCAGGCCCTCCAGAATCTTTTACTGCAACAAACTAGAAGTTAGTTTTTTTTTTTGTAGGTTGTCTACTTCCTTACAAAGTCCCCTGCAACATTGTCTGTAAGAGACTTCTGCTTACCTACATATATTGTAGGAACTGCAATCGAAGATAACCACAGTCAACTAGAAGTCAGCTTTTCCTGCAGGTTGTCTACTTTTATGCAAACTCCCCTGCAACATTGTCTGTAAGAGACTTCTGCTTACCTACATATATTGTAGGAACTGCAATCGAAGATAACCACAGTCAACTAGAAGTCAGCTTTTCCTGCAGGTTGTCTACTTTTATGCAAACTCCCCTGCAACATTATTTTTAGAAGTCTTCTATCTACCTATAGACACTGCAGGAACTGCAGTCAAATACAATCATAGTTGTCTACTTTCCGACAAGCTTCTCTGCAACATTACTTGTAGAAAACTTCCTCCTACCTACAGACAGTCAAAGACAACCATAGTTGTCCACTTCCCCGCAAACTCCCTTGTAATATTATCTCTAGGAGTCTTCCGCATACCTACAAACATTGTAGGAACTGCAGTAAAAACCCACAGTACGGGATAAAGACTTCAAGTTCTACCTCACAGTTTCTTCCTCAACCATTGTTTGATGTTTTCAAATCCAAGTTGAACATGGTTTTCAACCATACTTCAACTTGAGAGGGAGTTTTAGAAGTTGCATTAGGAAATAATTTATTCCTATTAGAAGTTATGAGGATTAAATTTATTTCCTAATATATATTTATTTCCTTTCCTATTTTAGATTTATTTTCTTGGATTTGATTTATTTCCTTTCCTTTTTTATGTTATTTCCTTTATTTTTAAATAATTAATATGAATTGATTATTTGAAGATATTAGGTGTTATATCTTTCCTGTCATGTTATTTCTTTTTTATTGTCTTTCTTATTATAGGATTAATGAAAGGGTTATTTATACCACCTTTCATATCAATAAAAATATTTCGTTTTATTTCGTATTATTATGAATTTCAACAGTTTTTCTTTCACTTGTTTGGGTTAATTCCGGTATTATATATATACTCTTATCTCAATTTTCTTGCATCATTTGCACTTTAAATATTATGCTCACTCGTCTATATGTGATGGATATATAAAATATTTTTATATTAAATATTTGAATTCGCCAAACAATACAATGAGTTATGTCACCTTTGATTAAAACTTATAAATGCATTGGTTGATAGTTTTAAGTTCATATATCTTAATCATTAAAATCAAATATATAATTAGTTTGGCTCAATTATTGCTGTAATTTCATAAGAAAATCAGTGAACAAGCTTGAACATAATTTTAAAAACTTGGCCCATATTTAAGCTCAGCTCAAACCTGATTTTACCCAGAGACATCATATAGTCAGGCAAGTGAAGTAATGCCCTTGAGAATTACATTAAACTCTGGCACTTCCGTTTCTTCGATAATTGAATCTCTTTTTATTTTCCTAATTCATCAGTCTATTTATTTCTCTTAATGCCTCAGAAGCATAGAAAAAGGATTCATGTAGCCGACCCCACGTAGTGGGATTAAGGCTTTGTTGTTGTTGTTGCCTCAGAAGCATAGAATGCAGGTTTTTTTTTTAATTTGCATAGAAATATTATTTTGAGAACATACATGTAAGCTCTATTTCAGTTCAGAGTTTAATTTGAGTTATAAAATCTTCTCAATGTATTCGTGTTATAATTTTCACGTTAAAAAAATCATGATGAAACTTTTCAGGGCAATATTCAATTTTGATATTAAGTTGGACTTCATTCCTGCATCACTTATAAACTTCATATCAAGGCAGCTCATAGGCAACGGACACAAGCTATATCAAAAGGTTTTGTTTTTAATCTTTTAATTTTAATTTCTGAATTTTATCAATGGCTGTTCATTCTCAGCCAAGTTAAACCTCAAGATTCAGACAATAATCCCATTTTCATTCAAAAAATAAAGGATTATTGTCTAATCTTCTAGCTATCATTCCGAGCACTTGCACTATAACCTGGTGTATTTTTTAACAGAATTTCTAATTCAAAAGTGATTAAATTAAAATTTTGGGAAATTTACGTACCACAAATTTTTTATATATTTATGTAATTTTTGGGAGGGAAAAAATAATTATTCCTCTTCAATTTTCTAAGACTCGATTACAAGATAAGTAACATGGGAAGTCCGCATTAACAAAGCCACAAAATTCTCATGCCAGAAAAAAGAAATAGTTTGGTCACAAAAATTGATGAGAGAGATGTCTTCAACCGGTTCATTTCACCTACATCATCTCCGATAATATTATATTGTCCACATACACACCCATCTTTTTAATGTCTGAAGAACATTGTATGATCTCCCTACATTTGAGTATAAATTTGACCTTTAACAAACAACACAAACTTCTCAAACCACACTCTCAATGACCGCTTTAACTTATACAAGGATTTTTTTTGGTTCACACACTTTTTTGTCAAACTTCTCACTTAATCTTGGAGGCACATTCGGTATAGCTTTTCCTCTTAGTCCCCTATTAAGAAATTCATTTTTTTTATATCCAACTGTTATAGGGGCCGGTCAAGATTAATTGCAAGTGACAAAAGAACTCTTATAGAGTTTAATTTTATGGCTGGGGCGAATGTCTCCTAGTAATCAATGTTATGAGTTTGAGAGAAGTTTTTGGCAACCAGTTGAGCTCTGTACCACTCTAGAGAGCCATTAGAATATTCATTTGCATTTGATACCTTTTTTTTCCTCTCGGTATATCAACTAATTCCCACATGCCATTTTTTTTCTAGAGCTTTAATCTCTTCGAAAACATGCTTCTTTCACTTAGAAATGTTCAAAGCATTCGACACAGTATCAGGATTCTTCATACAAGACAAATGTGTGGTAAAATCCCGAAAAATAAATGAGAAATTTTCATATGACACATAAAGAGAATGAATGTTTGGTGCAAGGCATCACCCACTTACACGCAACAATGAGATTACTAGAAGCATTACATTTAGGATTTGGGCCAGGCTTAGGTTCCATACTAGAAAACTTAGAGCTCGAAGATGAAGTGAAGTGATCATGGGATATATTTTTAGTTATTATATGAAGGATTCATGGATTCTCGACAATGCAAAATATATGTAAACTCTTTCCTTTAAGTTATCCTTTGTTGTAAATAGACAATGTCAAATGTTACCAATATTGTATTTTTTATTTCCTCTTTGTTAGTTGTTATAGGATTATTATATATCGAAAATGTATCAACACTAATCTTGAAGGGATTCAACGGTTCAAATGGGAAGAGTACGATGAAGGTTGACCCACTGCCAAGAGGTCATGGGGCACACTTGACTGGCCCGAGCGAAGCAATATGAACCAAGTCGAGAACACCAAAATTTGTTCGGACCATGAAACATATAAAAGACGACCAGATGATACAAGAACATGCCATCCGACCAGAAACAAGGCAAAATGACATCCAAACCAACCACTGCAATAAAGTCGATTCGACATGATAGCCTACACCCTATCCAAGGGAGGATCCAGTTTCCTCATTACCTTCAACCATCCCAAGGCTGCCCAGAGCCTCAACACTAATTATCAAGGATAGACAGACATGCTATATCACCCCATCAACCCAGGCAGACCAAGCTTAGCTGACCGAGTCAGAATCAGTTGGATGATAAGCCTATGCACGTAAAATACTAGAAATATCCTAGAGCATACCCCTTTAAAGCAGGGGCAAAAATGTATCATCATTATGCTCTCTCCTCTCTAAAGAAGGGAATTATTTTATGAATAAAAAGGCATGGATTATTGCTCGTTACTGTATTCCTCTCTTTTTCTCTCTCCTTACGCTATTCCTTGGCTGATTTTCGGACAAATCATGATTCAAAAATACCAAAACTCGACTCACTTTCTCCTGATATAATATAGCGTGGATTTTCAGGTTGCACAATCTATGTTGAGGAAATGTTATTTTGTGAGTTTTTAGTTTGAAAAATGTTTTGAAAAACAGTAGTCAAATCATTATTTTGTCCATTTCTCTTTGAGTTGAGGTGAAGAAAAGTGTTGTAATTCAAAAAAGATGACAACCATAGAAACAAACTTTCTTTTAAAAATAGGATCAAAACATTTATATTTTTTTTGCGTAGGATCATAGCCAACAAACACACATTTTATGACCCGGAGTTAAAGTTTTCCTTCATCATGACTATGAATGTGAACAAATGCAGTACACACAAATATTTTTAAAGGTGAAGAAGACGAAAACCAAATTTTTAGGTAAATTTTATGAAAAATATCAACATGTGTTTCAAGGTTCAATTTATTAATGGTTTCACCTAAAAAATATTTTGATACTTGATTTGTAAATAACAATGTCCGAGCTACTTTCAATAAATGTTTATGTTTTCCTTAAGACACTTTATTTTATTGTGGGATGTCGACACGAGTTTTGATTAACTATTTCTTTTTTGAAAAAAAAATTGACCCAAAATATTTTTGAAATACTCTCGATCATTATCACCCTATAATATCTGAATAATTTTTGAAATTATGTTTGTATCATTGTGTGAAAGTTTTAAAAAATTAGTTCTATTTCAAAATTTTCTTTGGTTAAATACACTCAATTTAACCTTATGTGATCACAAGTAAAGATATCAAATCATTTTTTTTCAAAATGTGTGTAGGTTGTTTACAAGTATCCCATATATCATTATGAATCAAAGTAAAGAGCGTAGTTGGTTTATAAATTTGGGAGTGAAAAGACAAACGATGATGTTTGACAAACTGATAAACTTCACATTGGAAAGAAGATAAATTTTTATTTTAAAATAAACTTAGAAATAAGAATTTTGAATACTGGAACATAATATTATTGTTATTGTAAACAAAATCAGATTTAAGTAAGTACTTTGATACTGTTATTCACATCAATTTCATCGTCAAAATAATAGTCAAGTTTTTTTCTCAGCACTGACCATCATATTCCTAGTAGTCAATTCCTAAAACTCACAACAATAATTGAAATTAATTTTGCACTGATAATCAATAGTAATTTTGTTAATGAACAGTAGATTACAAGATAAATTGGGAACATAGAACACATTATGAAAGGTTAACAGTGAGGTGAGTTTGATAGTTCTTATCCTGACAATTGCCTAGATTGAAACATTAGTAATTCTGACATTTTTATTGTTTGCATCAGATTTATAAGATGAGAACAATTTAGAACAACAAAGCATATGATCAGTTGTGTCAAAATCAGTTATCCAAGAATGAATAAAATTAGGATTAACACCCAACAATGCAGTGGCTAGAAGGTTACCCTTCTGTACTGAAGAGCATGACAGAGTCGGTGACAATTTTAGAGATTGAAATTGTGCAGGTGCTCTAGTTGCTCCTTGATGAAAGGTTTTGATTTCGAGTTAGTAGAAGGCTCTTAAGCTTAATCACCAGTGGCTTGATCGACCCGACCTTGATGTTTAGATTTTTAGTTTCCAATAACGGGTTTACCTTGAAGCTTCCAGCGTGTCTCTTTTATTTTTCATGATTTTTTTGCAATACTTGCACCACCATGGTTGGGTTGAATTGGTCTTTGAATTACTAGAACTAATAGAAATGGTAAATTTTCTTTGGGTGCCAGCCCTCGCCCACTTGTGTGACTTTATGAGAAAACGTGCTAGTAGTGGCTATGATCTTGAGCTTGGAGGTGGTGAAAAAGGGCGACTTTGATATGCCTAATGCGAAGGAGAGCCCACAAATAATTGCTTCGATTGTGAGTTCTGTTGCTATGAACATCAAATAGGAGCAGCACACGATTAGCATATGCTTCTAAAATTTTGACCTGGATTCGGTCCTCACAGAGAACACTTGGCATTTCATTCACAATTTCGATCTTGTTTTCAGGTTTGTTACAAAGTCGATTTGAATCCTTCACTACTGAAGAGTGAGGAGGTTGCAAAGGGATGAGAAAACGTGCCTCGTAGGTTGACTATAGTCTTGATTTAGGTCCTCCCTCGTAGCCAAGAGTTGCAGGTGATTCGGGTCCTCACAATACATCTACAATGAGTGTGATGCCAGGTCTTTGAACACAACGATCTTGTCGTTACCTTCGTAAAGGGCTCTAATCACAATTGTATCGCTAGAGAAGAACATCACGATTAGTTGGTTCCTTTCCAACGGGCTCTAATCACACGACTATATAGCTAGGGATAAACCCCCAATCAGTTGTTGCTTTCCCAGCAAGTCTAATTGCGATTGTATGGCAAGGGATAGGGTCAGTGCTACGCAACAGCTGATGATCTGGGTGGATTAGGTCACCGCTCAAGGTAGAACTTGGCTCTAATACCATATAATTTTCTGGAGGGGAAAAATAATTATTCAACTTCAATTTTTTCAAGACTGTTGCAAGATAAATAACATCGAAAAGCCACCACGTTAAGAAAACTATAAAATCCTCATGCTAGAAAAAAAAAAATAGAAATCACCAGTAATAACTAATTCTAAAGAGAAAAAAAAATATTAAAGTTAGAAGATATCAGAAGGAAAAACATTAAAATTCCTACACTTTATATATCTAACACCTAAAGTTCGATATTTACACTTGTAACATATGCTACAAATCTATGCATGAAAATGTGTATTTCACTTAAAAAAAGTTAGCAATGACTACTATTTTTTATGTGCTGTTAAAGATTTAAGTGTTATGAATGTTTAGTTGTTAGATATGTAAATACGTAAGAATTATGTGGTATGTATGTGAACTTCCCTAACATATTCAACAAAGCTTAGATTGATTGATGCATAAAACATTGCAGGCCGTTGGATCTGTGGCAACCATCGATCCAGACTATCGATTAGCATTGCAAGGACCATTATACGTTCGAATTCGTCAACAGCTTCACACAGGCACCACACCCGTGACATCTTCGGAAGGTCTAGAGATCCAAAAACCTTCATTCCTCAACGAAAGCAAAACTGGTGCACCAGGTAAAGATAATGCCATAAAAGCAAGAACTTCGCACCCTGAGATCACCGAAGAATATGCTGAAGGGAAGATCCATATGGCAAATGGCTCATCTGGAAATTTACTTTTAGATAAACATAAGAACTCTTCTCATGAAAAAGCTTCTATCAGTCCAGAAGTTGAGCATGCCCTCGGCATATTAGATCAAGTTATTTCTATGGTACGACGCCAATCGATTGATCGTAAACCCTCTCCGGTTAGCAACGACTTCCCTGTTTCAGAACTAGCTACCAAGCTTCGCCTTTTCGATATTGGAGATGCGCCAGAAAATAGCAGCAATAAGCTTAACTTAAATGGTACAAGTTCTTCGATCATAGAAGCCGGTCATAATCATGCGGCACTTTCATCGCCAAAGGTGAGATTTTCAGATTCGGTTGAAAACTCGAAAACGACGAAATCTAAAATTAATTTTCATGAGATTTTACCCTCGAAAACATTAGATAGAATGATGCAATTGACACCGGATGGCACCGGCAAGGTGTGTGATGAAGAGAGTTTGAAGGCGAATGAATTTCATGGCAGGAGCGGTTCTTTTCATGGCAAGACAAAGAAGAAGAGGAAGAAGCTTAATCTCAGTTGTTTGAACCCGCGCTTCCTCCGAGATTGAGAAGACTGGAGAACAACTGGTTTTCATTTGTTTTCTGGCTTGAAAATTTAATTTTGTTATGGATCTCAGTGCAAAACAGAATCATAAGCCCACACTGCAAGACTTGCATGATTCTAAAGGTTGAGGAAAAAGAACAGGAAAATTATGAATTTCATCAGTATCTAATGGCAAGAAATAGAAACAAGATGAGAACATAAGTATTTTTTTTTTTTTGTTGATTTCGGTTAGGCTTTGTAATTTAATCAAATTATTTTCTAATTTTCTTTATACCCCATTACTACATATATGTGACAACAGGTTCAGTATTCATCCAAATTGTTGTATATGCTTGCATGTTTTATAATTGATTTACAAATTGTTGAGAAATTAGGGCGAATAAAGATAAGAATCGACACAAATCCAGAAGAACACACAGAGATTTACGAGGTTCGACAAAGATGCCTACATCATCGGATCATCGGGAGCAGAGCGGCGACCTCCTTTTCAATATTCAGAAAAGAGTACCAAATACAAAATTCGGCTCTCGAGGTCTCAAAGACTCATATAGGGTTACAAACATGACATATATATAACTCTATGGTACAATATGTAATTACTTAAATTACTCTTGTACTAAACCGTAGGGTGTTGCCCCTGCACCGCCAACCCACATAATGAAACTCCCCCGATTGAACAGATCCTTTTGCTCCACTTCGCTCGTGGGCTCCACTCCGCTCCAGCATCTGTCCCATTTATGATATATGAGTCATACCTAATAAATCTATACATTGGCGAATATACAGCCCCTTAGGAGAAATATATGCCTGACAAATCTCCACATTGGCGAATATTCAGCCCATTAGGAGAAATACATATGCATAACAAATCTCCACCTTGAAGAATATCCAGCTCTTTAGGAGAAAATACATCATGAAGTTCCTTATGCAGCAATGTGAGTTGGGCCACCACGCTTCTGCTGCGCCCTCGCTAATCTCCCCAACCCACTAAATTTCAAGAGACACTCTTCAATTTCAAGAGACATCTCTTCATTCCAAGAGACTCCAAATTTTGGTATTATGAGCCATACCTAACACAAATTAAGGTATTTCATTATATTTTGCACTGCTTCTGTGGCTGTATTTTTCAAACTGTTTTATGAAATGTTTGTTAAATTTTTATTGTAGCATACAATGTTGTCAATTTGCTCACCCACCAAAAGATTGTGGTTGCTGCAAATTTATTTGCAGTGACGATTTCTCTGATCTATCATTTTGAATGACTTTTGTTTTTTTTTTTTTGAGAAATTTACATGCATACCACAATTCTTATTTATTTATACATCTAACATCTAAACTTTCATAACATTTTTCTTAACTTTCATTTTTACATTTATAACACTTGTGTCTTAAATATTATGAAGGGTGTATCTTAGTTTTAAGAAGCAATAGTGGTATTTTTATGTGATATTCCAGATTCAGATGCATGAATCTTTTGGGATGTTGAATTATTTTAGGATTTAGGGTCTTGTGTTTTTTGTGGGCTCAAATAATCTATGGGCGACCTTGTGAAGGAGGTAAGAGGGAGCTCAAAATTTTTGAGTGAGCGTGCTATTGATGATGGTGAGGAAGGGAAGAAATGAGAGAGCTAGACCCTTACCTCCTTTTCGTGTTATTTATATTTTGTAGAATATACTTGTGCTCGTAAGGCTATAAATAATAAACAATTGCTACGTTATAGATTGTGCTCTATAGAGCCTCTTAAAACTCAATGTTAATAAACTACTATTTGTGGACGTCATAGTCAATAAAGATATGTGTGGATGATGATAGACCAGAGTTTTCCTCCCCCCTGTCATGAATGGCTTGTTCAACGAACTTTATTACGTAATTCAATAGATGCAAGCGAGTTCGGTTGGGGAGCTCATGGGGTGTGAGCGGGCTCGATAGGAGCTCAAGGAGCATGGGCAAATGTGGTTGGAGAAGCTCATTGAAATACCCAGTACCAGTGAGTTCAATCAAAGGAAATTGAGTAAATAATGACATGTTCGACATAGGAGATTGTCGAGTTCCTTTGAGAGGCAAGTCTGATAGTTGTTGTGTCCAAGAGTATGCTTAGCTTACACGACTGGTCCGGTCAAGATCGGTGCTTCAAAGTATAAGGTGAATGGTCACAATCCATTTGGCCCAAAAGGCCTATTTAACATCAAAGCTTTATTGTGGTCTTAAAAATCTATTTTTGGATGTACATTATGATTGTAAATATGAAAGATTAGTTGTTTAATATGTAAATACATAAAAATTGTGCCGTATTTACGGAAATGCCCCCAGTTTTCCCTTAATATTTCAGATTTCATACAAACTAATTAAGTAGCTGATCCATCATTAGCAAAATACTTGGCTTTGGGTTGATCCATCATTACCAAGTTAATCAATACTTATGAAGCTAATATGTCATCTAACTTCTTTTTTATATTGATTGCTGTTGATTAAGCACAGTACCAACTAAAAGATATTAGAGCTTGAGCAGTTGCCAGTGCAAATCAATGCCTGTCTTTCTAATCTGATTTATGGCCATGGCAGTGACCATGTTCTTATGGTTTTTTTCCCAATTAAAGTATTGTTTTAGTCCACAGTTTGTGATTATTGACACATGAAAGTTTGCAGACCATAAATTACTGAACATCTTATTAAAAATATTGGTTTTGGTATGTCTCAACAAATTTCTATACAGTTCATCTACTATTTTCATTTTCATTTGGTTTTCATTTCCTGTCTTTCATTTCTCTCAAAACAAACATACATTGGGTAATGTAGAGACAATTTATATGTAGCGCTGGGTTTTATTAATGAAGGAAGCTGAATTTAAAATGAAATAGCTACTAAAGGTATTGGGGGTAGCAAAACAAAGAGTGCTCTCATGTGCTCTTGCTATGAATAGGGACAATGGAATGGTCTAGCATGGTAAGAGCACACACTACAGCGTTTTATGTGATTTTCGGTCGCCTAGACTCGTCGGTAATTTTGTTGTAGTCGTTGGTTATTAAAGTTTACGATACTTTCCAATGGCATTTATTTTTTGGTGGATTTTTGATGGGGTTATGTCTGTCGGTACAATTTCTGACGAGCTTAAGCCCGTCGGTTCATACCTATAGATAAACCAATAGATATTAGTTGAATTGCCATCTGTTTAGGATTTGAGGGGCTATTAGCCGTCAATTTATAGGTATCAATAGCCCATTGGAAAGTTGTGGGTTACCTGTCATAAATCTGTACCTGAAAAATTAAAATAACATCTTATGTTTCATTGGAATTCATGCCCCCACAATCGCATAAAAAAAAAAAAAAAAACACATGAAATATACATTACACAATCTAATTTACCTCTCAACAATGCTTCTAAACTAGAACCTTTTAAAGATAATCACATATTGAAAATAAATAAACTTTTAATGTACTAAACAACAAAAACTAAAATAATTAATACATAAATATTGCATAACTAGTACATAATGTCTCATAACAGTAAATGAAATAACAGAATAACTACTCATCATTGGTCATTTGATCTCCTCATCCTCCTCCACCTGCATTGGCCACTTCCCTCTCCCTCATGCTCACGTCGCACATCCTCCAATATCATATTCATTCTAGCCTCCATTTGAGCTAGTACAGGGGCAAATCAAGCATCTATATTTGCAGTGAATGTTGCGACCTGACTGTGAACTTCATGGCCATAGGTATATATAGTGCTATGTCCAGAAAAGTACTGGAGTGCATCATGTGCATTTCCCCATGTGAGCCCAAGCCATCAATCATCCTCATCCTTTTTTTTTTTTTACCCACAACAACTACCCTCCAAAGCTAATAGTCTAATTGATCATGTAAGTAAGGATAGGAACTCCTCCTACTTGCTAACTCTAAGCCTCCTTCAGCTACTCATACTCAAACTAGGAAAAATTGTAGAGGATAGAGGGAAAATTAAATTTTAGAATAATTGTAATGATATAAAAATTACTATGCCACTTACATGTACTTTTTGCGGTCTAGCAGTGACCCACTAGTAATCTAATTGATGTTGATGCGTACGAGCATGTAGGTTAGTGTTGTTGGGCTCTTGTTCAAGTTGTAGTGTCTATGAAAATTAAAGAAGAAAAAGTTATTAGATAATTATGCATCTAAATTCTATTAGAGCTTCTTTGAGATCAATTTATTTTTTTTTATTTATACAAATTTTATCTTTAAAAATATATTTATTTAATATATTGTTTATATAATTTTATATTTTATTTTTAAAAAAATAAATTGTCATATTTTTAGAAATTCTTAAAACAACGTAATTTTAGGTGGTTTGAGTATTTTTAAAAATAACAAAATATTGATCAATTATGTCAAATAAATAATAAAAATTATAAAGTAAAAGTGATTCCAAAGGGCCTCGAAGTAATTCAACTGCAGCTTCAAACTCTTACATATGTAATATTTTAATTGCATGTTCTGACATAAGCTTCAATTTAAAATTATTTAAAAAAAACAAATTAAATAATAATATGAAGAATTAAAATCTACTTTTACCTCATAAATTTATTTCAAGTCATCATTTATTATTAGGGGGTCATTGTGGCATACAAATCATACAAATGGCATAAATATGAGGATGAAATCCGGCAGTCAAACTAAGAGACTGGAAATAAAATAGATGCGGGAAATTTATTTAATGCAATGTGGGCCAGCGTTATTGGGAGCTAAGGGCAGCAGAGAACTCATCACTTTGTCTTCTTATATACATTGTCAAATGTCTTTTTCATCAATATAATGTTTATATATATATTGATGAAAATGTAAAATATATCGTATACATATGTAAATACATAAGAATTGAGTGATATGAAAGAAAATTTAGCTATACATACATATGTATGTATGGTTCTATATATATATATATATATATATATATATATACTCTTTTTTTCTAAAAAGTAAATCGGTATTTTGCAGAGGCCTAAATACTAATTTTCTATGCGCTAGGCCCCATGATGAGAGTCTGCGTCATGTGCCTAAATATTTGAGAACCCAGCGCCACTGAGGATCAAATTCATGACCTGAGGGGACTTACAGTAAACCCCGCCAACCAATAGGCCACTACTTGTAGCATATATATATATATATATATATTAGGTATGACTCATATACCAGAAAAAAGGACAGATGCTGGAGCGGAACAGAGCAAACGTAGTTGAGCTCGCGAGCGGAGTGGACCGGAACCTCGTTAAATATGTATTCTGTAATTACATATTGCACTCCAGGGTTATATTTATGTCTGTTTGT